CTGGAGGGACTTTGAGAAGGAATTTGGCTCCGACAGCACCAGGGAGAGAGTCCGGAAGTTGCTGCCAGAGAAGGTGAAGAAGAGAAGGAAGCTGACAGCTGAGGATGGGGTAAGACCTGGTTTCAGACTGAAGCAGTGGGATAAAATGGGTCAGAGGGTCTGTTAACATTAACTTGTTATAGGAGACTGAAACAAAAGATATGGCTGTTCAAGGCAGATGCTCAAGTACAAGTGGGTAGAGCAGTCGTCTCCCAACCAGAAGGTTGAAGGTTCGAATCTCTGTGCCTCCAGTCCACGTGTTGAAGTGTCCTTGGGCAAGACACTGAACCCCTTGCCCCCGATGGTTAGAGCCATCGGTTGAGTTGGCGCCACAGATGGCTGCCATCGGTTCTGTATCGGAAACAAATTCCTTGTGTGTAACATACTTGGCCAAATAAAGGTGATTATCCTCAAGTATAACATCTATATGGCCATGCTAAAAAAATAATGGCTGACATTTAACAAAATTCAAAAATATCCAGCTAAGCATAAGCTTAATAATTTTATTAGTCATTTATCAAAGAAAATAATTATTGGGCTCCAGCTAGTTTCTATTTAATATCACACTAAAGTGACTGTTGGTTGGAGAAAACAAACTGCTGGGGATTGTCGGTTGTTACATTGTATAGACACAGTGACTCAATTACAGAGCCACAGGTGACTTGATAATGAAAGTAATCATTAGCTGTAGCCACGGGTATTAATCACTCCTTTCTCCCTCTTCAGTCGGATGCAGGTTGGGAGGAGTACTATGACTACATCTTCCCAGAGGACGCTGCCAACCAGCCCAACCTCAAGTTGCTGGCCATGGCCAAGATGTGGAAGAGGCAGCAGACGGAGGGTGAGAAGGCTCCAGAAAAAGGTCCAGCACCTGAAGAGACAACATCACTGACCCCTGAGGAACCTGCAGCTCCCGCTGAAAACCATAACGAGTCTGACAGAGACACTGTGACTGAGCAGGACAAATACGACGATCGGGATGATGACGCCAGCAGCAGCAGCGAGAGTGACAGTGAGGATGACAGTGGTGCAGAGAAAAAGGAGAAGGAAAAAGAAGGGAGTGATGAAGAGAAAGAATAGACTCCCTGCTCAGGGACAATGATTTTTCTACTGTTTTAACAAAAAGCAACAAAAGCAGCTGATGAGCAGTCTTTATTGTTTGACCATGTTTTCTCTGCAGCTGTGCCATTATACACACATCAACCAAAACTGGCTTCTCTTCTTAAGCAAATGCATTTCTGGAAAATTAATAAAATAGGAAACTAACATTTGTACAATCAGTGACTCTCTGACTATTAAGCACTGCACAAACAGCTTCTGACAGTTCAACTATGTACAATGGGACTGAGCAGGTCCTGTAATGATTCCACATCGATTACCAGGACAAAGGGAGCGGAGCGTCAGAGAGCCACAGTCTACTGTTATTCGATGTCTTCTGGTCTGACAGGATGTGGCAGCGGGATGATCGACTTCTTCTCCGTGTCTCTGGACAGAGCTTTTCTCATGTCTGCAGGAGAGGAACCACACATTTAATCAGTTTCTCAAACCTACTGTAAGCATCTTCATGTCTGTTGTGGAGCAGCACCCTCTTCTGGCAGTGTGGCACTCACAAAGCAAACTGTCTTTATAATACCTTTCCACAGTGGTAATTTGATTTCATTAAACACCCAAATTGCTAAGAAATAAATAAAACCACATTGAGCTTTGGTGGGAGCCAGTTCTGGTTTTCTGTGTTCTGATTTTGAAAAATGTAAGGGCTGTGGATTATCTAGAGGAACAGGGACATGGGCTACTATAGGTCCATTTGGGGTGTCCAAGTTCTGAATGTGAAATTTAATGTGAACTGTGCCACTCAGCATAATGGCTACTTTTTTTGGTTCTTATAGTATTTTTGATGCTTATACTTTTGTACCTAAGTAAAATTTTGAATGCAGGAATTTTTTTTTATACCTTGGTATTAAGTATTTCTTCCACCACTGCTTTAAAACAGCCAAGTAAATGTGAAACAGTACTGTAACTGGCATGTACCGCTGAGCTCATGTGTTTTTCTTGTGACGAGCACCACTACCCAAATTGCCTTCAAATCCACTGTACTCCAGGAGATTACTGCAGGATAGTAAAACCTGGACAGATATGACCATAACTGTCTACGTGGCTAGATACCGCCTGAGTTGGCAGACATAGAACACGTACAGTATCTGTGTGCTTAACTGCCACAGAACAGCAAAAGGAAACATGGACCACAAATAAAACAGTTACTGTGACCATGCTAAAATGAAATGTACCAGTACTTCTTCTGTGAGGCAGAAGGAAGGAAAAAAAAAAAAAAACCTCCTCACATCTCACAACCTCCCATCCACTAAGCTATTATTTTGTGATAAAGGTTTGTCTGAGTTCAGCTCATCTCACCGTAAGCGTCTTCATCAGGTTCACCGTTGCTGGCCGAGTAATACTCTATGACTGTCCTGTAGACGCTGTAGCCCAAACGTTTGTACATGTTCACTGCCACGTTGTTGGAGACTCGCACAAATAGATCCACAAAGAACCCACCTTTCCTACAAGACAACACAACATGAAGGGTCACAGTAGAACCTTTATGATGAGGAGGCAACTTTGTGAGCTGAGCCTGGCTGCTTGGACACCTCAGCACTTTACCACAGGAGGTGGTTTTCAGAAAACTAAACTTAGCAAACGCCACCTGTTGAGTGAACTTCAAAAAAATCTTTATAAAGCTATTATGTTCTGAAGCACTGGAATTTAGGCATGATATAAAATGCAGAACATATACATTTAGAGGAGGAATCCAAAAAGAGTCCAATAAGAAGAAATGTTTTTAGTAGTAACACAAACAGCAATTTAAAAATGTTGGGGCAGTTCCTATAATATGCATAAAATGTACATTGTCATGTCAGTGCTGCATACACACTTTACTGTCCAACATAAAAAGCCACTATGAAGCTGTGAACCTCTCTGAGATTTCCTCCAGCATCTCCATGAGTTTGGCTGCGAGACCGAGTCTTCTGAACTCAGGAGCGACAGACAGAGCGGTGACATGACCGTGCCACTCCTCACGGGCTACAGATCCCTCTGCCTTCCCCATGACTGCAAAAAGGCATTGAGACAGCCATGAGCTCAGTGTCAAATGAGATTTAAAGTACTTTATACAATGGCAAGAAAAAGTATGTGAACCTTTTGGAATTTCATGGTTTTCTGCATTAAGTTGTCATAAAATGTGATTTGATCATCTAAGTCAAGAGTACTGACGACTATAGGTACATTATATTCTCTTGCCACTGTAGCAAGAGAAATACATGGTGATGCAATAAAATGTGTAGCTCTTATGTAAAACTAATAAGCAAAATACACCACATTTCAAATATGATTTCTTCTCTTTTAGCTTAATATTTTTTATAACTGCAGCATTTAATCTGTCATAAGAAGAAGTCCACATAGAGTATTTCAAGAGCAACATTAACACAAAGCATTTGACTTGTCATAATAGTTGAAACACAGGTGTTATAGTCTGGTGTCCCAGAAAACCCAGAGTGTGACAGGGAGCCCCAACAAGCACAACACACCGCTTTCACAGTAAATGGACAGGTTTAAACCTGAATGGAATGCAGCCACCTGTGTCTGGAACATCTTAACCAATAAGACAGTAAAACCTGAGAGTGCAGAGGAACTTACTGTAGCCCATCAGTTCACCACCAGGAGCCTCTGCTACGATGAAGTACTCTGGCCAGTGAGCGAGGTACTGGAGGTAAAAGGGGATCCCATACTGGAGGTCAAAGGTTAAAGAAAACTGAAGATTATCGCCTTCAGGAAAGAGGATTCATCACAGTACTGCTGGATTAGACTGGATTCAATTTAGCTTGGTGTGCCTAATAAACTGACTATTGAGTATATATTAAATGTCATTAGCTGAAATAAACAATGTGATAGTTATCAGGTAGCTACAAGGCAGCTAAGCTAACGCGGCTATCTGATATTCATGCTAAAAAAGGATACAGTTTCTGTCAGAGGATCCAGGTTGCTGTTGGACAAAAGGGGGAGAAACAGGAATAAGTCTGAAAATGATACTCGTCTGTTTCATGTTCACATAATAACACGTCTAGACCGAGGACCTTCACAAATATTTAATGGAGAGACAAACCAAACTCAATCTACTTTCCTCCTTTACATTTTTTAACGTTGGCAAATTCAACATACAGTATCTGTGCCCAACCAGTTCGCTAATGAGTGCTAGCTAATGCTAGCTTGTTAGCTAACTTCTTCTTCTTCTTTCGGCTGTTCCTGTTTGGGGTCGCCACAGCGAATCATCTGTTTCCACCTAACTCTATCCTCAGCATCCTCTACTCTCACCCCAGTTAACTTCATGTCCTCTTTTAGCACATCCATATATCTCCTCTTTGGCCTTCCTCTTGACCTCTTGCCTGGCAGCTCCATCTCTGCCTCTTGTCTTTTCCTCCCTGCTACAGTCTCTAACCCATACAGCATAGCTGGTCTCACTACTGTCTTGTACACCTTTCCTTTGATTCTTGCTGACACTCTTCAGCCCCCTGTAACCTCACTGTTCCACTTCGCTCCCTCTCGTTCATACACATGTATTCTGTCTTACCATGACTGACTTTCATTCCTCTTCTTTCCAGAGCAGACCTCCACCTTTCCAGGTGTTCCTCCACCTGCTCTCTGCTCTCACTACAGATCACAATGTCATCCGCAAACATCATTGTCCACAGAGATTCCTGTCTGACCTCATCTGTCAACCTGTCCATCACCATAGCAAACAAGAAGGGACTCAAAGCCGATCCTTGATGTAGCCCCACCTCCACCTTGAACTCCTCTGTCTGACCTACAGCACATCTCACTACTGTCGTACTCCTCTCAGACATATCCTGAACTACTCTGATGACAGAACAATTAAATAATCAGATATTTGTATGGAGTTTGGCACAGCGTCTTTTCCACCAGCAGAGAACGAGCTGGGAGCCTATCAATGACCACACTGCTTAACGTGCTAGTGCTGCCGCTTCACCACTACAACACGCTAAACAGGCATCTGGCTGAATGCATTTTAGGTAAAAGTGACAAGACTATACTCACATATTGTTAAATTTGAACAGATCATCGCAAGTAAACGGTCTTAAGGTTGTCATCTTGGCTGCTGCTCTGTGTGCTTTCACCTCACAGAGGAAAACAGACATCGGCTCACTTTAAAGGGCGAAGAGGAAAAAAGTAGCGCCCCCTGCTGTCCAGGAGGGGCAGTACACGGTATTCCCCCTGCTGTCCAGGAGGGGCAATACACGGTATTCCCCCTGTTGTCTAGGAAGGGCAATACACGGTATTGTAAATTTCATACAGTGTTGGAAGAAGTACTACGTGAAGCCGTATAGGCAAAGACTGAATTTCGAGAAACCTAATTATACATTTTTTGCCTATATGGCTTCATTTACTTAAGTAAAAGTAGTAATAGCACAGTGTAAAAATGCAGTTTCATACAGTTTCAGTTCACTGACAATCCTGCTGTTCTCCTTTTTGTGATAATCTTCAGAACAAAAGAGGAGGTTAACTTTTTAGGTGAAGAAAAGGCAGAAAACAGAGCAAGTTTTGCACGTACAGTAGCAGCGGACCATCGGAACATTATATGTTCCTTTAAATCAAAAGACTATTCTCTACTAATTAGTACATTCTGACCTAGAAGGTGAACACGGCAAACATTATGCAAACTAAATTGGCATATTAACATTGATGTTGTGAACATGTTAGCATGTGGACTGTAGCATTTGGCACAGCTTCACAATGCTGATAGGTGTTGACAGTCAGTGACATCGGGTTCCTGGGATTTCGGCCTCCACACTACTACAGTGCAGGTGAATTGAATTTCATGTGTCATGCTCACAGCATTGTAAAAGTACAACAGCACCATATCTTTCCAAAATTACCCCATTGTCTCCTGTGAATAGTTGTCATAGGGACTATACATGAAAACTCACTCTGACAATCAGTGAACTGAGGAACACTGGGGCCCTCACGTATCTGGGCCCCTGGGGGAGCATCTACCTTTTATGAGCCCTTCTCAGCAGAAACCAAAGTTTCCTCAGATTAGTGTATATATTTGTATTGTGGAAACTCCCACACCACCTGGGGAAATGAACTGACACTGGATCAGTCTGTCAGGTGATGGTGAGGAAGGGGGAGAGGGAGGAGGTGTGGTCAGTGTCTGCAGGTATGAAGGATGCAGCCGACATCACCTGCTGCCAGGACTGGGTGAAACCACATGGACGGAGGTCTATTCAAGCAAATGGAGCATTTCCAGGTGTGGCGATTCTTGGGCCTCATTGTTCTCACTGCTGCCCAGAACATCACAAACAGGTAGAGGCAGAGCCAGTTTAATGGTCTGAGGTTTCTGAACTTTGCATGTCACCTAATGTGTGAATATTTTCGTAATGCAACATCTTAGTAAAACTGATAAGGTGCTGTTAATGTATTGTTGAATTTAAACAAGTCCTCACTCTGGTTTGCGAGAAGGCTGCCACCACGGCTGTTCTACATCTCCGTCAGCTTCACCTCTCCCTTTTCTATGTTTAATGTATCTATTATTATTTTTTAAATGTGTTTATTTATGTTTAGTTTTTCATGTTGCTCTATGTTTTCTAAGTCCTCTGTCTTTAATATGTTATTATGAGTTTAACTTGGCTTCATCTTGCTCTTTCAGCCCACACCCTCAGCCCTCCTACCTGCTCCTGGCTCCCAGAGTCCTCCGACCCAGAGTCCCGCTGTCACTATCAGTCACCATCCTCACGTCCTCGCCGGTCACTGTATCTGCTCAGATTGTTCATGGCACACAGACTGTGGCCTCAATTTCAGTTACAGTTACAGGAGGTAAAGTGTTTGTTTCCCATCAACAAAACTATGTTTTTTGATTTTATATACAGTGTAAAATGAACGCCGTCAATTTCTCTGTTTAAAGGTTCAACTGAGCTGCTGACTTTCCCGCCAGTGAGTATGCGAAGTATCACTTGGTAGCTTTGTAATGTTTATGAGGAGTCTCAGTCTCGACAGTTTGAGCTTTGTTGGTCTAAATTTTCATTGTTTCAGTGAACTCTCTCTATATTTTTTTTTTGTTTTTTTTGACCAACAGAGTTTTCAGCAACAGAATGTAGCATTAAACTTCTTCTTTCAAATATGATTTGATAGTTTTAAAGAAACCATCAATGAATTTAAGTAAAACTAAATCTATGTTATACACCTGCAGATCCTCAAGAGCACATCCAGCTACTCGTACCCCTACAGCCTGGAGGTCAAAGGTCACATGGGTAGTATCCAAGTTTTCGCCAACTCCACGAAGCTGCTCTTCAATCCCAAAGGTCTCTCCACCTTCATTCAGACAGACAAACAGGCCTATCATCCTGGACAGATGGTGAAGATCAGGGCGGTGTCCATTCACCCCGACGGGAAACCCTACATCAGCCCAGTGAATATCACAATCAAAGTGAGTGAGCACAACACAACATTTAGACATAATGTTTAGACATACAGTATGTCAGTATATCAAAAATAAAAGATCTTCATTATTAATCACCCCAAGTATGATGATCGTAAAGGAAACGGCACAAAAACCCAAATATAATCTGTTTAACATCACGTAAGGCACAGAAAACCTGCAACTCCTGAAATTTAAGAAGCTGGGGCCGTCAAATATTTGGCATTTACTGTATACTTAAAAAATTACCTGAACAATACTTCAACTACAAAACAATTTCAAATTTTGTCAATAAATTAATCATTCTAGCCATATTACTGTTTTTTCACTATTCATTTAAGACTGAGATGGTGCAGCTTTGTATCAGCCTTCTCTGAAACAGCTGTAGTGGTACTTTAGTCTCAAACGGCAAAAAATAAATAAAAATTCTGTCCTGCAGAATCTCGACGCTTTTGGTCCAGATGCCCAAATGACTTTTGTTATTATTGTGAGATTATTAGTCTACTGTACAAACCTCCACTGGAAAATAATATTTATTATTTAAAACATGCATTCATTTGGGTGAATCACTCCTTCAAGTACAGCTGCTTTACCTGCTTCTAGTGGTGATCAGCAGGCATATAAAAAATACTGACAAAATTTAGGAACCAAAATGCTGTAAAATGTTTTGGCCTTTGTGTCAGTTGCTTGACTATTGCAGATACAAATTAAATTGTGTAATCCTACTACCTGGCACCTTTTTGAAATATTGGTATTGGAAAATCATTTCTTGTTGTCCCTGATTCAGGATCCGAGGGGAAACCTGCTACGACAGTGGCTGGCTGCAGACAGCGTCCTCGGAGTCGTGTCCAGAGAGTTTGAGCTGTCTGACAACCCTCCTCTAGGTGAATGGACCATTGTCACTACAGTCAGTGTAAGTAAAAGATAAGATAAAGATAAAGGTGTCCCCATGAAGCTGTAGTGCTCATGGTAAACCACAAAGCTCCTTACCTGATCATTAGTGGGGCAAGAACTTTAACATTTGTCCTCAAGGTGGCACTAGAGCAAGGTCGTGTTGTTAGCTGCTGTAAGTGAAAAGGGTTTATCCTCTGTTTGTTCTGCAGAATGTTTCCAGTGAGCAGCATTTCACTGTGGTTCATTATGGTATGTACATGTTCTCTGGCCTATATGGGTGACTTCTTCACGTTACATAATAAAATCTGATTACACCTGAACACAATCTGGAAAGCGTAAAGAGTTACCCATAAAACACTTTGTATCCACATGTTTATTATCAAGGTGTTCTGCAGGAACATTGTTGTATTTTCATTTTGTCAGAATCACCCAGCTTTAAAATTGTGTGTGTGGTTTCAGTGTTGCCTAAGTTTGAGGTTGTGATAAATGCTCCAGATGTCATCTACCATGAGGAGACTCTGCGGGGCTCTGTCACAGCAAAGTGAGCTTTCTGTTTCTTTCAGTGCACCTTCAGCACTTCCATTTACATGTTAATTTTGTTTGGAAAGAAAATCGCAGGATTATTTAACACTAGTGTGTTTTCATCTGCAGGTACAGGTACGGCAAACGCGTCCAGGGACATGTGAATATAAAGTTCCTTTGTCATTTCCATGGTGTTGAAGAGACCTATGATGAAGACACAGAGGTGTGTAATCTTATTTCAAAGCACATTGACACAATGATTATGATCTGATTACACCAGAAAAGGACATGAAAAGAGCCTGAAGAGCCACTGAATAAACTTCAGGTTACCTGCCCTTCTCTGTGTAGTAATGGGGTTGTCCAAATATGTAGATCAATTCTTATCTAACACGTTAAGGTATAATCATTACTTTTTCATTTCTATGTCCGCTAACTAAAAAATATAATTCAGTGAAATAAATGCAGTGATAATGAAAAATATCCTTTCTGACCCGAGTGTCGCTTTGGTTTAGATTGATGGGTCTAAAGAGTTCAGTTTTGATGTTCCCTCCTACCGCCCAATGACCAGAAGAAAAAGGAACATTGGATACATGGAGGATGAGTTTATAATGATTGTGGCTACTGTGACTGAACAGCCCACAGGTATTGTTGCTTTTGTGTGTGTGTGTTCTTGTACTTGCTACATAGTGAAGACATTTTGGTTGGTCCTCACTTTCTGAAACACCTTTTTGAGGGTTAAGACTTGGTTTTAGGGTTCAGGTTGGGGTACGTGTTAGCTAATGTTAGTGGTGAGCTCACCATTTACAAACCAGCATCTAGCCCAGCAAATACTAGCATCATGTTCTTCAACGACATACAGATGAACTGATGTGACCAGGCCTTCAGACCTTTATGTTGGAAAATACAGCGTGCAGGGAATATAATGAAACCATTAACTGAATAAATAAACTATAAAAACAAACAAAATAATGAAAAAAGTTTACATTGCATCCTTGGATTGACAAATCCTGGCTCCATCTGTGCCTTTATCTCACTGGTAAATATATATGGAGCAGGAAAAACACATTATTACCTCAAAAGTCATGTGTTTGTTGTTTGTACAACACTTTATGACAATACTGCCATATTGCCATAGAGTATTTTTCATGGTTCTCAGAAAATAATTAACAATACTTTTAAAACTTTGACCTTTTGTTCAACCCTAAGACTTTCTATTTTATTCTGTTATGTAATTCATTAAAGTCACTTATGCTATAATTTTATGTCTGGTCAAATTAAACCATTAATGTTCTGTGTTTTTGTATTTCTGTGTGTCTCTTTCAGGCCTCACATATAACAGTACAGTAAACGTGGCTGTGGCAACACACAGATATAAACTTTCCTTTGACAACTATCCCAGAATATTGAGACCCTCTATGAACTTCATTGCCAGGGTAAGGAAACATTTTCATAGATGTACCCTAAGGTATTTATCATGCTTCTTAAGATGCACTCTTCTCTATAGATAACCACACAAACAAACAAGTATCTATTACCATTATAAAAACTGGTCATTGATAGATAAAATGTTGTAATAAGACACCACCACAGTGCATCAAGGAACTGAATTGGGGCAGCTGAACTTCCTAGAGCATAACCTGATTTACTGCTCTATGAAGTCTTCAGTTTGAATATCATATTGTTAATAATTACATCTTCTTTTTTTAGCTGAAAATATCCACATACAATGATCAGCCACTATCATGGGAGGATCAGCAAAAGACAATTAAAGTGTCAGTGATGCAGCAACAGCAAGGTCCATGGGATGGAGAAATGGGCATGATGGAAGGACCAATGCCTCTTCACTCAAATATGTCTGAGCCTGAAGATATGGAGTTTCCTGTTCCTGCAGATGGGATCATACCCTTCAACATCCAGGTCATGGATGACACTGAAATGCTCAGTATTGATGTGAGTAACAAAACTGTGCTTTCACACTGTAAATGTTAAAATAAAATAGACTTTACAGTGCCAGCATGCAGGATAAAATTACAAGTGTGGTGTCCCACAGTCAACAGAAACAGAGGACGCACTCACAGCTGGTAACAGTTTGGATTTAATGAGGTGGAGCCAGTGACAGACCAGAAAGAAACACTAAGTAATAAACACTGTAAAGAGACACTGTACTGGGTGATGCTGGTGCATTAAAGAAGTATGGTAAATTAACTGAATCAGGCCTGAGTGGGAAGTGAAAATGGTGCTGAGAATATAAAGATGTCAGCCGTTTCCAAAAACAGTCAGTTGGATCAGGAGAAAACGTCAGCCTATTTCATGCATTTATCTTCTTTGTTTTCAGGTTTCCTTGGAGGACAGCCAAAATACCCTAGTGCTGTTTAGGAACTACATATCCCCCAGTGACTCCTACCTACAGATCCAGATACCATCCAGCCCCCCAGAGGTAAATGTGAGGAACAGAAGCAGCAGTGTCCACAGTTAGATCTCTGTCACCCATGAACACTGTAGAATTAATGTTGATAAGGATGAATAAAAACAGGATGTACAGTTACTTCAGTGATGTACCTACTGTAAACCTACTGCAGGCCTTCAGCACACTTCCAAACACACAACATGCATGAGGCCAGTGATTCTGGAGTATTCATTAAATAAGTTTACATTTTGTCTTTGGTGAAACCTTCACTTTCTCCTCTTTCTTCAGGTTGGTTTACCCCTCCTGCTGCACATTGAGAGGAATTTTCCACTAAATGAAGTTCACTACATTGTAAGAAGCTTGTGATAACACTCATTTCTTCCATATATTGCATTTAATTTTCATTCTTTCTACACTTTCATTTATAGTAATCTACTTTAAGTGCAACAGTGGAGTAAACCTGAACATTTTGCAACATCGAGACTTTTTTTTAAATTTTGTGCAGCAGTTTACATCTGTTTTACTTTGTGAGCATAATTTTTAGAACTAAAGTGCATAACTGTTAAATGTATGAAATGACTAAGAACAAAGGGACAAAAACATTTAGAATAATTAGTGAGCTGGGAAGGAGGGACACGATGTTGTAATATAAAGGCAATGCATCCTGCTTCTTTAGATCTGAAATGTTCTATTCCATCAGACCAGGCATCTTGAACAATGCCTTTTGTCTTTTCTGTGTGAAGGTCATGTCCAGAGGTCAGGTGCTTTCTGCAGGGAGCAGCTCTGGTGATCTAACTTTGGTCCCAGAGATCTCCTGGGCTCCTCTGGCTTGTATCATCGTCTACTGTGTGCAGCCCCAAGGAGAGATCATCAATGACATGCTCCAGCTGCCCATCAGACAAACCTTACAAAACCAGGTCCTTTACTGTTTCAGTTGTTTTTACATTTTTGCTCAACTGAAATATGTAATAAACAAATGGCCAAAGCATGGAGTACAAATAGCTTTACTGCAGCACCCTACTTGATTTAGCTAAACTGATCAGAAGCTTGTGAAATGATTGTAAAAAAGGGGAAGTTGGTGGAAAAGAGTTTCTTCAGGTCAGCATCCACTAAATTAGAAAGTCAATGCCATATTCTCACTGGAACTCGCCCTTTGAAGCTTTTCCATTTGTCTTTTATAAACTAATTCATACTTGTCAACAATTTGGTAGATGTCAACTTGTATGCACACCAGTAATGTGACTGAGCGGCTTGTGATTGGCAGGTATCTCTGAGCTGGAGCAGCACTGTGAAAACGCCAGGTGACGAGGTCACTCTGACGGTCAGGGTGGAGGAGCCTGGCTCCCTGGTTGGGATCCTGGTGGTTGACAAGATGACACAGCGAATGGGATCTTCCAACGACATCACCCCAGAGAGGGTGAGATCAGAACCCTTTTTAATGAAATGACTTTCTACTGAATGACAAATGTTTGTGTGAATTATCAAAAGGAACACGGTATTCAATTTTTAAATTGTCATTTTTCAATTAACACTGCAAAACAAAATTTCATTTGTCTTTATTGTATTGGGATGGACACACAAATCTCAGAGGGATATCTAAACCTGATCAAGTCAAACCTAAACTATCTGCATAGGTAGATACTAGCAGAGATAAGTCGTTGTGGGTGAACTAGCACTATTTGCTGTCATGGGATTCAGAAATAATTATTAATTTGTTATGTCAGTCAAATAAAAAAATTAATCTATAGGCACGAGTGACATGTTTCCTGCTTTGTACAGATGGTTGTTGATCATAAAACACGTGTCATTTACAACAGTCCAGAATACCAGAAGCCTCTCTAACTTGCCGGGTCTCTCCAGTTTAATATTTTCCCCTAACACATCTCCAGCATTGTCCACTGTCCTGTCTGTATGTTTCCTGTATAACTTCATCTGCAGGCACACCTGTGTAACCCAATCCATTGCCACCAGTCCAGTATTGGTTCTGTGTAAACTGAAGCACCATGAGCCCTTTAACTGGTTTTTAACAATAAGTGCTTTCTTTGTGTCCCAGTCTGTTTTGTTGCTGTGTGGCCTGTAATAGTTTCAGCTCTGAGGGCGTTGGTGTGGATTTTACAGGTGCTGAAGGAGATGGAGGAGTACAGTGTTTCCACACATGACACTTTCTTTGACTGGTCCAGAATGGGAGATCCATACTCTGTCTTCAAGGTTAGCCTCACCAGACATATGTCACATACTGTTTGTTTGTTTTATCACAAGTATTATGTCAGTGTTCCTGCTTCATGCTTCTATTTTCCAGCTTTCTTCCCCTTTTCTTGTTAATAGAATACAGTATATCTGCCTGAAATTTGAAGTGTATAATTCTCTGTCATACCTGGTCATGGCTGGCACACAGGAGTATGTATTTATTATTACCCCTATGGTCAAACCATAGAGTAGCATAGCAGCAGTAAAAACCAAGAGGGGTCATAAAGTCATCAAACAGCAAACATCCATCCATAAAGTCTTAACTGCTGTCAGATAACACAACAATATAATAAATATTACAAAGTTTGCTACCATTAGCCAGTATGAGAATGAGTGTTTTGAACTGATGTGTTGTATTTATAATGCTGCTTTTTTTATTTGGAAGGGGAAAAATGTGGTTTGTAATCTTTCAGAATAGTCTCACTTTAAAGAATTTGATTTGCTTTTATTAAAACACCAAAATCAATAACTCCTAATCCAGTGTTCAGCTTGACTTTGATTTATAATTTAATTTTGCAAAGTAATCGTGACACACTTCTGCTCACAGTCTAAACAATTTTCATGTAAATGTAGGAGCTGCTGAAGTTTTTGGAGTGAAATGTGTTGCATGACTTCCTTGTTCTTGCTCAGACATGTGACCTTGTGGCTCTGACTGATGCCAGTTTGCAGGTGATGGAACAGCCACCGACGCCTGTATATTGTAAGTTTAAAAAATAACCATTAATCAAAAGCCTCCCTTTAACAAACAGTAAAGTTCCTCGGCCGTTGTGACTGTACATTGCCAATATAACTGCCGCCACTCATTTTCTAAGCAGCCGAGCAGGAAATGCATCCTTTACACCAGACAAATATGGAGCCACAAGAGTGCTGGGACTTTCCAGAGACATGGATATGGATGGATACTAACATAAGGTGAAGCTTCAGAAACATAATTCCAGGCTGTTTCTGTTCATTTTATGAGGCTGATAAAGTATATATGGGCTTAAACGTGCAAAACTACTGACAGGCTACTTCAATTACACCAGATGATCTGCAAACTGCACCTGTATGCAGATGATATCATTATTTACAACAGATAATATGGTTTTATTCCCACTTATAGAATTAGTAGGATTTATCATGACTCTTTTCTTTGTTGTTTAATCTGAAAAATCATGTTTTCTTATGTTTATTGCAGTAATTCAGGCACAGCAGAGATAGAACTAAACGTACCAGACAGCATCACAACGTGGACAGCCACCGCCTTTGTCATGTCTGAGAACCTGGGCCTGGGCTTGGTAGAGTGGCCTGCAATGGTATTTGCATCACTTCAGTTACTTTGTTTAAACTATATAAAAATAACACTCCTAAAAAACACCTTGAGAAGCCTTACTAGACCTAATTTTTATAGTCTTTTTAATCTCTCATCTTGTATTTTGAAACACAATCTCTATTAATGGTCTTTCAGTGCTGTTATTGAAACACTTAATCCAGCTCTTTGTATTATTATAGCAACAGCAATCATAATCTGGTTATGTGCAGTACTTGTTGTAGGAGACCTGACATACTATATTATGCCACAGTAAATGACGCCTATTATTGTGTACTGTCCTGTTTGTATTGTTCACACCTGAAGAACCAGTAAAACAGTTCTATGTGATCTTCTTGCAGCTCCTAGTCTCCCAGATTTTCTTCGTGTTCTTGAATCTGCCAGCCTCCATCATTCGAGGAGAGGTGCTGCTGCTGGAGGTTTTTGTCTTCAGCCACTTTCCACAGGACCTGGAGGTCAGTAGGCTCCTCGTCACACAGCTGGGCTGGATGATGGGACACATGACATGACACTGTTTAATTTATGATCTAAATTGTGCCCTGAACAAAGAATCACTCGGACACTGCAGATATGAAGAAATGCAAATAAGTGAGATGAGTGTATTAATATATAGTTGAAATCTGATGAAATGTCATTAAAGTATTTTCAGTATGATATTCAACTGTAAATGACGACTATGATGAATGTCTTTAAGCTGCAGCAGGTCTTGGATCACTGCTAAACATGATGTAGATGCCCAGTAATGTGAATCCAGTGTTTTAAAAATGTAGGTCACTCTGAATATATAAGACCGAACAAAAGTGATGTTTGATTTCTTAGATTACAAGATACTGTATGTCAGCTTTAGTCCAACAATGTGATATGTCCACAAAAGGCATTGGCCTACGGGGACAGGATTAATGGGAATGTTCTAATTTTGTGTTTTTCGATATTGGGTTACAACAACATGCTTCATTTGTTTCCTTGCACACTCTTTACATTTTGTGTAACATCATCTGGGTGGATTCTTTCTGTCTTTGTTGTCAGGTCATGGTGATTGTAGACCAGAGTGACACCTTTGAGTTCATCTCGCCAGACAATCAGGAGCTCTTCATGCCCGGTATACGGTGGGTGTCTGTGGGGAGTGGAAGCGGAGCATCTGTCCTCATTCCCATCAAGCCACTGGTCCTCGGAGAGATGCCTATCTCTGTGGAAGCCGTGTCGTCTGACGTTTCTGACACTGTCCACAAAACACTGCTTGTCAAGGTGCCGCAAGAAAGTCACTCACTCATTACCAGGGCAATTTAAACCGTGGCTGCAATGGAGGAATTAAAAAAATTAGACAAATAAGAGCAATTTAGGTACATCTGGAGGTACAACACACTTTATATCACAAAAACATTAATTTTGTTAAGAGTTTAACACCTCTGTTTAGAGTTTAAAAGCAGTAAATTAACTTTTAATAAATGGTTTATAACACTATAAAATGGTGGCTGCTATATAATGAGATAATGAATGACAATGTAGAAAGACCTAGCTATTGGTAACAATATAAAATGTTAACTCTCCAGTAATTCACAGGAAAGAATAGTCATCGATTGTTCATTTTGTTCAAAATATGTTTATTCTTTCCTAAGCTGTTGATCATAAACTGGCCACTGGATTTGTGTTTCACAGTGATATAAGCATGAGATTCAGTGTCTTGTGCAACAAAACATCACGAGTGAACCGAACCTGTCAGATTGTGTTTATGAGAGAATTTGTCACCCGCTGCAGCTCCAAAACAAACACAGACAGGAACAGGGTTTCAGACAGGAACTCTTCTAGTGTAATCAACTCTCATTTGCTGCTGCACTGTAACCCAAGAAATCTTGTTTTACAGCTCTGCCTTTCCCAGAAATATCACTCATCAGGCCCGTTTTGATTCCGTAGGCCGAAGGACTGGAGCAGTCGTTCTCCACCTCGCTGCTGTTTGAAGTTTTGCCACCAAATCTGAGTCTTTCCAAATATGTCCTGTTCACCTTCCCGCCAGATGTTGTGGAGGGCAGCGTGAGAGCATCAGTCACAGCTGTCGGTATGTAAACAGGGAGGAAAACAGACTCTGACACCTGGGCTCTCAGGCCAATCCCTGTAAAACAACACATCAAGCTGCAGTACAAATGTATTAATCAGATTTTGGATCAAATTATTCTTCTCCACAGAAACCACCAGAAAGCTGTACCTCTCATTATCTGGTTGTGTGAACCCTCTTCTTTTTAATGCTTTGGACTTTGACCTCAAAGCCCCATTTCGCACGATGTTTCTCACCTCTGATTTGTCTGGTTCCCACTTTTGTGAAGGTGACATCCTCGGCCCATCCATCAGCGGTCTGGACTCTCTGATCCAGATGCCTTGTGGCTGCGGGGAGCAGAACATGATCAATTTTGCACCAAACATCTACATCCTCAATTATCTGAATGCTACCGGACAGGCTAGTGAGACCATCACAGACAAAGCCAAAGATTACATGATGAAAGGTACAGTAACAAGAACAACAGTTATGTCACAATAACATATTCATCACTTCTTACCAGGTCTGTGAAGATCACTGCTGCTGCTCAGGATGTCATAATGCGTCCCCTATACAACTGTCTTTAAGTTGAACTGAAAGTACAGTTTATTTTTGCCAACTAATTTCTATATACATTCTTGGTGTTTGCTTTGATGGATGAACTTATTACTGTAGTTTTGTTCTTTGTCATAGAGTTACGTGAAGCAGGACGAACTATCATGTTTTAGTTATCTTCTTGCAGTGACAGCACCCCCTACATTAGTCTTCCACAGGGGGCAGGAGTCTTCAGTATTGACCGTCACAGGATTGTAATTTGGTGCAATGTCTGTGTGGATATGCACTAAAGATATATAGCCTATTACGATATCACTTTACTTCCAGTGGCACGGGTACTTAACAGCTGGGCACTACCTGTAGTATTACCATCTGTGCCTAAATCACTTCTGCTTCTCTTCAGGTTATGAGCGAGAGCTGTCTTATCAGAGACCTGATGGCTCCTTCAGTGCATTTGGAGAGCAGGACTCATCTGGAAGCACCTGGTATGTTGTAAAGCAATTTTGAATGTGGACATCAGAAACGTGTCTCAGGCTTCTCAGAAACACTGACAGAGAAACTCTGTGCCTTCAGGCTGACTGCTTTCGTGCTGAGGTGTTTCCTGCAGGCGCGGCCGTTCATCAGCATCGACACCCACGTGCTGAACAAAGCGGTGGCCTGGCTAGTAGCTCAGCAGGGCCCTGACGGGAGGTTCAGGGAGCCTGGCCGGGTCATCCACACTGAGCTCCAAGGAGGCCTGGATGGGCCAGTCTCATTCACAGCCTACGTGCTCATGGCCCTGCTGGAAGACAGTACCATCACTGTAAGAGTCAATAAATCATTCAAGTACAGTTCAGTGTGCTTTACACATGAGTGAACAAAGCCACCATCGTGCATAAGTAGCCAGGTTCACAAACCACATGTAAGAAAAAGTCAAAATGTTTGATGTTTGACTCTTTTCCCCAGATAGATCAATAAAGTTCAGTCTCAATGAGCAGACTGTAAAAACATGAAAAGTGCAGTCTGGACAAATTAATGTGGCCACAGATGGGATTTCACAAAACATCCAAACAAGCAAACGCTTTGAGCTGAAGTGATGTTTAACAGGCTGCTACCCTCTTCTCTGTCTGTCAGGCTCAGTATAGGAGCCAGGTGTCATCAGCCCTGAAGTTCCTGGAGACCCAGCTGGCTCTGGGAGTCTCCAGTAACTACAGCCTCTGTCTGCTCACCTACGCTCTGGTTCTGTCAGGCAGCCCCAGTGCCACCACGGCACTCAACACTGTGATTGCACGGACAAATTTGACAGGTATGAGAACAGCTGTGTGTGTGCTTGAAGCAGGACCTAGCAGTAGTGCATGTACATGCAGTGTGTCCCACTAACACAACTATATATAAATACAGGGTGGGCCACGGAAAAGTAGCCCATGTACTCTAGAGCGTATTGGAGGCAGGTAATATAAGCATTTTTCAGTAATGCACTATGTTGAAGAAAATTGTTACTCAGGTTGCTACTCAGGGTGTTTCACTGCACAACCTGCTGCTTCTGTCCCTCTGGAGGTCAGGGGGTGTCAGGAGACTGCTCTGAGGCTTTGAGTTCATTACTTTGTGAATTCTGCAGTGTAGCAGCCAAATGCAAGACATAGGGACTCTAAGGAATCAAGCTCAAGTGTCTCTGAACAAATAACTTGGTGTTAGAGGATTGCTTTGAAGCTATGAGGATGTGGATTTGACAGTGATGAGACTGTAAACTCTGAAGTCCAACGCCCACAGTGAAGACTGAAAAGGGCTCAGAGAAGTTTTGGTCCAACTGGTAGAGATTGTAAGATGCCATCTGGTTCAATTTTTGCCCAGCATCAAAACCAGTCCTGCTGCTACACAGATTCAAGTATTTGTCTCATACTCGTATTTTTATATGTGCAGTGAAATCCTTCGTCTTCTATGAAGGCTTAGGCCATGGTCTCTGCTTTCGTATGTCTGAAATCCCCAATTCTCAAATGAGCCCAACTCATAATTTAGCAAATGAAACTCATCTCTGAGTGTCCTCTGTGCATAGGCAATGCGCCATTGTCATCCTCATATGGTGGCCTGTCGTCATCATGGCAGCCTCGCTGTGCAGACATTGAGATGGCGTCCTACATACTGCTCTCTCAGTACAAACTGGGCAACATCGCAGAGGGCTTGAGCCTCATGAAGTGGCTCAGCCTACAGCGGACCCACCTGGGAGGATACGGAAGCACTCAGGTCCGATCTTAAGATTCAAACACTAACCTCAATATAACCTTTTAATTTTGTAACTGGAAAAGTATTATGAACAGACATTAATGCAATAAAAGTTAGTGATGTGGGTCAAGGTTAGGTTATAAGGTCAGATAATCCTCTTTTTGTTTAACCAGCTTTTGCACTTTGAGGTTAATTGATGTTTAATGGACTGAATGTAGCTGATAAAATATTTCACCAGACACAAAATAACTACAAAAGACACAGAATGACGAACAGACACAAGAGAGACCACAAAAACTCAAAACAACTGACCACAAAGGGTCACAAAAATACTACAAAGAGACACAAAATGACTGAAAACAGAGTAAAACATGGCGACTGCTGTGTTGTCTATAGTCATGTTGGGTCTCTTTCAGTCTGGAGAGGTGGGGGCCCACTGCCTCATAATCTGTCCATGAATACATGCAGTACATTGAATAAAAACTGAAGGTTCCCCCTTTTCTACAAAAACAGCTGAAAACAGAAATTAACAGTGAATATCAAAGCAGAGATGATTGAGTGGACTGTAACAGAATACAGTGAGGTATGAGGTTGAATCAAGCACCCACAGACATGAATGTGTAACCAACCCCACTCCCCATCTTTCAGGACACTATCATGGCTCTGCAGGCTTTGTCCACATTTGCAGTTCTTGGATCGCCTTCCACCTTTGACCTCATCATCACGGTGAACACCTATCCTTCAGTCACCGTCGCCTTCTTCCCCATCAACCAGGACAACTACCTGCTTATGCAGAGTCAGCAGGTACGACGACACTAGAACCACATTCATCATTTAAACATGAGCTGAAGGATTACCCAGCAGTGTGAGCAGGTCAGCATCTACTGCTGATCCAAGACTGTCAGCAACCAACATCAGCCTGATGAGCAATGGAGGGGCCGCTGAAATATAAAGGGTTCATCCTCTGGGAACTTCGAGATTTGGCTTAAACAACTTGATATTGGTGGTTGGTGAGCCCCTAAATGATGTACTCCATTTGACCTGGTGTGTAAATGAGGTGCAAGTGTTAGAATTGCTCAGACACGGAAGTGAGCGAGTAATAATAGACGGACCCAGGTAGCTGACTTCGGTGCAAGTAGTGCCAGATTTATTTACAGTGCAGTGAACAAACAAGAAAACAGGCAGGTGAAGAATGATGGAGAGTAACCGGGTGTCGATCAGCAGTGGAGAAATCAGTTTGTAGAGAGATGGATGGGAGTAGGCCGGGCTGCAAACGCTGGGGTCACTCCCGAGCTGGTCGACGGGGAAGCAGTGGTACCTGAGAAGAGAGTAGACAGTAGTTGGTACAGATGAATAGTGATGACTGTGCATCGACCTGAATGGTGAAGACTGGAAGGGCAGAGTAGGTCCAGGGTCCGGAGGAGAAGTCCGTGGAGGAGGAAGAACAGCAGGAGAGGCGTGTGGCAATGGGGAGTAGAGAAACAGTACTGGTAGGAGCTAGGAGAAACACTAAGGACTGGGAGATAAAAATGGTAGAACACAACAACGACATAAGGGGCATGAGATCAAGATTGAACTGGCAGGGGAGTGAAAGGGGAGCGGGGTATAAGTAGGGTTAAAACTAATAAGGAGCAGCCGGTGATAATCAGGGGATGTGAAGCAGGTGTGCCAGATAGTGTAATCAGGGCCATGGGCGGTGCTAGACTTGAAGCTTTATTGGGGCACAGGCCCCCCCATATATTTATATATACATACAAGTGTACATTACACAGTTATACACACGAATAATTAATAAGTACTCCCTCAGAACAAAAGTGGTTTAATATTTATCAGATGTCATTTTTCATTTTACATTTTCAAAGAATAAACAGCATACACACATGAATGCTACCAAAACTGAGGACATAAACATGTCCAAATATGACTTCAGCAACTACTAATTAATATCATAACCTACACATCCTATACACAAAGTAAAGCAAAGTATTTCCCCAAGCTTAAAAGCGTCTTGTCCACCAAATCAAAGCAGTTCAGTTGGTTCCCTTTTTGTGCAATAAAGTGTAGCGCCTATTCTTCATTTTTGCAAACCTGTCAATAACTTGACTCTCACTCAGTTTACAAAGTTCTTCCTGCTCAACTGATAAGACAGCAAGATGGTGAAGCCTGTCTTGGCCCATTGTGCACCTCAGCCAAGTGTGGAGTCGTCTCAGTGCGCTGAATGACCGTTCACAGCTACAACTATTGACTGGGATTGTCAGAGAGATTTGAATAACCTGTGTCAAGGTTGGAAACATGACTTTATCCAGCAAGTTGTAAAGACTTTGTGTATCCTTAATCAGAAGGGTTTCGTTTTTGTGAGCCAGATAGTTTTTTGCCACTAAGACCTCCTCTGATTTTAGATCAACACTATAATGATCTGCCAGACCTCTGAGGTGTTCCTCACAAAGAAAGCAATCTGATTCTGGCTTACAGGCTTGAACACCTCTCAGTATTTGACCATTAACAGATGAAAAACGCT